ATTAAAGGAAGTACATTCTTGATAGGAAATAACTTCTGTAGTTCTAGCTATCTAGTTGGGGAAACAAAGAAGCCATGCTCGCCCCTTGGTTGTCAGAAGATAAATCCAAAATGACCTCTTGACCCAAGGTTCAGAGAAAGTGTGTGAGGAGAAGCAGGAAGTTGTAAGCAGGATCCAACCCAAGACATAGCTGTCTGAACATCAAAGAGAGAGATGTCAGCATAGGGATAAAATTACAGGGGTAGTATGGGAAGCTGCAGGTCTCTCTATCTGCCTTAAACCCAGCTAAGAGACCCCTGACGCATACTGTAGACATTTGCAGAGCTGAAGCAGCAGCAGCAGTGCAGCACTTGCAACAGCTCACAACTGCAGAAAGGCAAGTGAAGCAATAGCAAAGCCCCAAGAGGACAGAGAAAAAACAGTGTCCTGTAAAACCCTCTGTACAATGTGTGTCTCCACCCCCAGTCATTTGCAGATTGGGTTGCAAGGATTTGTCAATACTGAATTCAGTCCTCCATATTTCTGTGGCAGTTTCTGCATTTTATTTTGTTTAAATCCTCATGAAAACACTTCAGCGTTTTTGTGTGCATATCTCCTAATAAACACATTTTTGCAAACCAATTCCCCATATATAATCCATTCTTGTAGGCTATGTGCACTAATATGTTTATTTCTACGAACACTTTCCTCTAATATAGGCATTTTTGTAAGCATTGTATGGTTGGCTGGCATAGCAAATTTTGGATAAGTGTAGATTTTGAATAGTACACATGTTTTGGTTAGCATATTGTTTCAGAATGTGTGAATTTGCTAGATTCAGCTTTAAATGCACACTGAATCAAATTCCTCCCCCATCCTTAGGCTTGATCTACCTTACCAGGGCTGGCCCACCTATGAGGCAAGGCAAAGTGACCACCAGATCTGGCCTCCAAGAAATCAATTGCCCACTGTTGCCACCACCATGGTTGTTGTCAGGGACTGGGCAGAGGAAGAATGGTGGAGATTGCCTCCCCATCCTGACCCTTCCAGGGAGGAGGAAGAGGAAGACAGTATAGCTTTACAACAGGGGTTTGAGGGAGGTAGCAGCTCAGAGGCAGATGAGGGGGAAATCCAGGAAATCATGGGGGTGCCAGAACAAAACTCAGCTGACACATTGTCATTAGAAAGCCTTTCAGATCCTCCATCTCCCAGAACCTGGTAAGTCTTAAAAGTAGGAGAGCAAAGAGCTCAAAGACAGAGGGCATGTAGCTGCACCCACAGAAGTGACGAATGAGAAAGTGGGAGAGACGAGGGGTAGAGATGCACTCGGAACAACGTCATTATCCAAGAGGCTGGGTTCTATAGCCTCTCTCTCTAAAGATTGAAATAAAAAAGGATGGTAAGAAACTTTCCCCTGTATTTATACTTTCCTGGGCAACCAGCCGGAAGCAGCTGACAGCATCCTGACAGTGGTAGTGACAGCTGCAGAGGTCAGCAGCCCCACCCCATGCTGCCTCTACAGTGACAAATAGGAGGTGCTGTTGGTCTTCTCCTACCTCTAGGGAGGAAATGGCAGGGGTTTCTCTCTGGGGTCTCCTGGTCTCTGCACGTGCCCAGGTGATTCAGAGCGAGCCCATTCCTGCACCCCCAGCAACAGCCTTTGATTCCCAAGTCATGTATTGGGTGATGTTGGTTTGATTCCCCCTCTTGTTCCCAGTGTTGATCTTTATTCCCCCCTTGTTCCTGATGTAGATCTTCACTCACCACTTCTTCCATGGCAGAGCCATTTTGTGGTTCACTTCAGGTGACAAAATGTATTGGGCTGGTTCCGTCTCTCTCTCTCTCTCTCTCTCTCTCTCTCTCTCTCTCTCTCTCATACACACACACACACACACACACACACACCCCACCCCACCCCACCCCACCCCAGAGTAGTATCCAGTATTTTCTACTTGCCTCTGGGATGCCCTTTGAGGGACCATAGGTTTGCAGCATAAGGAGAAATAGAGAGGAACCTCTATGAAGGTCAACAAAGACAACTTCTGTTAACCTATAAGCAGATAGACACAGGACTATGATGTAAATCATTTGGCCAGTCAAGAACAAGAAAAGTCATTCTGGTTAATTGTTTGCAATTTTATGTCTTAAAAATGAAATATTCAAAGTACTTTGTCTTTCAAATGTCAACACATTATATAGTAACTTTTACTATTTACAGCAGGGTTGTTGTAATGGTCTTGTAGAAAATACATGCTTCTGGTCTGAAAACCAGAGCAAAATGCAACAAACCATTTCACTGCAGCCATTGAACATAAAACCTGTACAGTTATCCAGCCAGTGTTCAGAGCAGGAATACAAAAAAAGGAAATCTATTGTTCCCTAGCAACAAAGTTCAAGCCATTATACTACAATTTCAGTAAGTTTAGAAGTGTTGTTGTTAGATAGGAATGGAAAATCTTGGCATACATTGTAAACAGCATTACAATTCATGAGAAAGCAAAAACAAAGGAAAAAGACTAGTAATTGACAAAACACTGTATGCTAGGCTTCTCTTTTTATTTATGGACACCTTGTTTATGAAAGTTTCAATGTTCTGTCATGGTTCATCATCATACATGTGAAATATTGTCAAAGACCTACAGATATACTAATGTTTATTAAGAGGCTAAAGTTCACCACTAAATCTAAGAAAAGATTGTAACTGGCAAACACATTCTCTTGGACAGATAATGTAAAATGGCAAAGGCCAAGAAAATCCCACAACAAAATTGAACTTGAGGACACCCAGTTTTTGTTAAGGTCTCTATAAGCCAGCATTTGGAAGGGCAATGAGTAGGACTGCGGACCACAGAACACGTAAAATCTAACACATTTTGTCATTGTGTGCTAAAAATTGGCTCCAGCTCTTTTGTTTCTCTCTGCTTCTGGTGATTTTGCTATTTCTCCATTACAATCTTCCTTCATACAGCAGCCAGCATTATACCTTGAGCATAATTGATGGGAAAAGTGGGATACATTTTTTCAAAAAAACCTACCCTTTTCAAATGTTGCCCTCTTTCGTTTGAAGGGCAGCAGATTACTGCCAGCATGATCATATTCTTCTACTTTAAACAAAAAATAGCCTTGCTCACCAAAGCCCTAGGTTTCAGTCATATCTTAACATGGTATGATGGGAAACACACTGCACTTTCTAGTAAGGTTGGAACCATCAACAGGAGATGAACACAAGGACGTATGTTCTTTAGATTGTATTACCAATGTTTTGTGTTTGCATATAACTTTGCAGACTGACCAAAGTGTTCTAATTTGCCGAATGGTGACAGATTTACTGTACTAGGTTTCACTGTCATTAAAAGACAGAATTTAGTTCTGCTGGTAGTGACATTGCTTTGGTGGAATGGTTTAGAAATATCCGGAGGACCGTTTTCCAGTTGAAATATAATAGCATGAAGAGGAGGCAAGTTAAGGGTTTCAGCTAGATCACCAGGGTTCTTCCTTACATTGCTAGTCTCTTGTGATGTTGAGGTGACCCCTGTGTGTCTCAAAGGGCAGGGCTGTTGCTGACATAGGTGTGCAGAGAGGAAGCTGATTCATGCTCAGCTCAATCTACTAGGGCTCAGCTTTGAGTTTTCTTGTCTTGCCTCCTGCAAGCCTGTGGAACACTGAACACACACCTAGAGGACACTCACCCTGCAGCAGCACAGAGGTAACTAACCTGTGGCCCTTCAGCTTTTGCTAGGCTTCATCATTCCTTATCATTGGGCATGCTGCTGGCTTTGGCTGGCAGGCAACATCTGGAGGGCTGCAGGCTCTCTCTACTCCCCATCTATGTACTAAGAATGGCATGCCAGTTGTTTTCAATCCAGATCATTGGCCAGCTTGGCCAATGGTCAAGGATGCTGAGAACCGTAGTCCTAAAAGTTGTGTGGACCCGAGACTGAAGAACACTGATCTAGTCTACAACCTCCAGATTCTACCGCCTTATAACCATCCTCATTCTGCTGAAGGCATCAACCAGATCTGGGAGCCAACAGGTTGCAATGTAATAGAAGATGTTCTCTCTCTTTCTCCACCCACCCCAACTCCTTTATCATGGCAGTTTTATATTTCTATGCAAACTTTTAAAAGCACAGGCATCTTATCAGAAAAAGGGACAATGACAACGTATGAATTTGGTTGCTAGTTGAACTCCTCCCAACTAATCTTTGCTGCTTCCAATCTCATGTCTCCTCCACTGACAATTGTTTTCTCAAGGCTCTAATTCCACCCACTTCCCCCACTGCCTGTGCTCTCATGTCCTTCAGCTACCCTGAAGGACCATGAATCACTGCTGAGCACTCTTGTTTCTCTGCCCTTCCTGGCTTCCAGCCCATATCAACCTTCTGCTCTTTCAACCCAGTATGAGGTTTACACCCCACCCCTAGGGTTGGTGTGATTTCAGGTTCACTCTGCATTTGGGAGTGAGCTTTCACATCTCATCATCTTAATAGTCATATATGGTGTTATGTTTTTAAATTATTTGTATATGTGGTTAATTAATACATTGCAAATTAAAAAAGTAGATTAAGGTGAGGTAAGGGAGTGGAAAGGATCTAGCACTCTGCGCTCACATTTCCCTGTTCTATAGTAAGCCCATTATACTTTATATATGACCATTCATAAGTGCACATGGCTGCCGTCATCTTCTCTAATTAAACTTTAGACTTCATTCCATTGCTGATTTGCCACACTTTACACACTGGGGGTCTCAGGGGCCCACTCCTCATTCAGGGCTCATCCGTACATCCACTTGTTCCATTCTTTCTAGGCATGGATCAGAGATGTCTCCCATTTGCCCCTCTGCTTTCCCCAGGGGAAAAAATGCTCTTTAGTGATGAATTGGAGCAAATATCAGTTTGCAGAAAACTCTTCCAGGCCCATGTCTAGAAAGCACAGGACAAGGGGAAGTGTGGACAAGACCTCTGTCTCATTCTCTTGCCGACTACTACCTGAGAGCTAGTGTTCCATTTCAGTGACACCCTAGCTGCCCTCTCCAGGGTTTCAGATTGGAATGGGAGCTTCTGCATGCAAAGCAGACGCTCTACCACTGAGCTACAGCTTTCCCTTAAAACAATTAAGTCTCAGTTACAACTACAGGAGTGCATTGTTAAGCTCTTGCTCTCCAAGTACCTGCCTCTGCAGCCACATACTGGGGTCAGTTCAAGATGATCTGCTTATTGGACGTTCATCCTCGTTTGCACAAAGTTTGCAAGGAGGTTATACAATGTCTGCTGTTTACTGAGCGCTTGTGAGGTTATATGATGTTGCATCAAGCAAATGTCATCACATACATTTCAACTGTTCCCCCTCAGAAAGATAAAGATGATGATGATGATGATGACGATGATTTTGTAGGGAGCAGGTTTCTTGTACTTGAGTGCTAAATCTACTTTAATTGTGCAACCTGAATTCGCTGGTTGAATGCCACCTGCAAAACAGTGACTGCCTGGAAGCTGCCTCTGCTTTTCAGTGTGAGTTGCCTCCCCCTACTTTTATTTCACTTCCCTTTGTTATGATGTCAGGCAGCCTCCCTATAGCATTTCCAACTCTGTGCCCCACTTCCTATACATTCTGTTGCCCTGAGGCCCTTTGTAGTTTCCCCACAATTGTGACCCATTTCCAGTATCTTCTGCCCTCTTTGTTTTCCCTGTCCTTAAGATGATGTGAGGACAGACAAAACCGGAGGGATGTGAATATTTCATACCTGAGAACTCCCTTCAGCAAATTGAATGTTTGCTAACATTGATTGGCAAATTGATTGGCATCACAATAGTTCAGCCAATAGTAGTCAGAGGCTTTTCCACCACTGCAAGAACACAAAATCTCCTAGCACATCCCATTGTAGACTATTTATTTAATTGCTCATTAGAAAGTCATTTGTGAATTTTCCCCCTACTTTTTTAAAATAAAATAAAATATGAGGGGTGGGAGTAGGGAGATAAAATTGGCCAAGTGACTGAATACCTGTCTGATATCCAACTTGCCTTCACTGAAGCATGTCTAAAAGGGCCAGTAGGTCTGCTTTTAGCAAGGTTATGCGGGATGGCATAATAACAGAATATGTTTGTAAGGAGAATGTGGTTTAAAGTAGAATGTAAGTCAGGAGAAGCAACACATTCTGTACATTTTATTCTATGTATATCCTCAACCCATTTCTCCCAGAAATGGCTTGTATGTGCTTTCTGGCAATTGCACTTTCTTTACAAAGGCTGCTTACTACTTGCAGAATGGCAAAATGTCAGTAACTCATCCACATTTCCTTTTGTGCCACATATTTAGGCACAGGTACAGGCTTCCCAGGTCTGTGTCCGAGCAGGTTTTCTTTTTTGTCCCACCACTTTCCCATGGAAAACCCATGTTTTACTGCTGAATCACAGCAGACAGCAATGGGGTTTTCCACAGATTGCCATTTGCTCCGATCCAGCAGTAAAGTGTGGGTTTTCTGGGGGGAAGCAGTGGGACAAAAAGCAAAACAAAAAAAAACCACTCAGACACAGAGCTGGAAAGCCTAGAAAGTGCGGACTAAACGTAAGTGTGGATGACCCTGAAGCCAGAATGATTCTTTGGATCAGGGTTTCCCAAACTTGGGTCTCCATCTGTTTTTGGAGTACAACTCCCATCATCCCTAGCTAATAGGACCAGTGGTCAGAGATGATGGGAACTGTAGTCCAAAATCAACAGAAGACCCAAGTTTGGGAAACCCTGCTTTAGACTATGCATTATCTAGGCCAGGGATGGGGACCTTTTTCGGTGTAAGGACCTCACTTAATTCTGAGCAACTTTTCAGGGACCATATGTCAATGGTGGGTTAGGCCGGAGGCAAAATAAATAAATGGACAGGGCAATTAATACAAATTTGTATCTTTGTAGGGCAGTAGTTTCTGCACACCCCTCTCTATCCAGGTGAGCAAGAGACATTGTCAGTTTTCAAGGATACATCCCAGCCAGGCAAAAACACTCAAGGAGGGTGTGATGTAAGGCTGGTGAGGATGATAACCTGGGGTTATAAGGGTTCAAGGGCTATAAGAGAGATGCTTGGAGGTCTGCATTTGGCCACTTGAGCCTGAGGTTCACCACTGCTGGTCTGCAATCTATACAACTACATCCTTCTTAAGATTTCAAAAAAGCTACAGTCTGGAAGCAGCCAAGACATGTTGCTTTAAAGTGAAATCTATTCAGATGTTCTGCACAATCACCATTCATTCCTATGTACAGCATTTGCACAGAAGCTGAGCTTGGAGGGCTGCGTCCATGACCTCAAAGTGGAAAAATAACAGGGTTTTTTTTCCTGAATTTCAGAAGCAAACATGATAAAAACATTTCTATATACCACCATTCTCTGGTGGCATGATTATTTAATTATTTTTTTCTAATCCACATTTTATATCAAACAATACCTATAAACACACCTAGGAAATTCTGTTCATTCATTGGTAAACGCCAAAGAGGGAAAAAAAAGTATTCCATTTCATTTTATGAGCTTTTGGCATAATAACAAAAATGACAACATTCAAGGCAGCATTAAAACCCATCCATGGTTGGTAATATAAAGTGCATTTCCTGCATATAATACAAATATATCTATATGGAACTCAAGGCACACACTAACGTCATACGTATTACATACTAGAAATGCACAATTTCAAGCTAATAACTATTTAAGAAGAGTTTCAAAACATTTTCTTCCCTTCTGGGTATTTTAAAGCATTTTGTTTTAAAAGGTACATCAATTCACGAGCCTCAAATGATAGAACTGCTTAAAACATTGCTAGTGTTGACATCTTAGATCAGTGCTAAAATATATCACCATGAGTGCACTTCTTACATAAAGCCCAGAAATTATTTCTGTGAATTAAAAAGTGCTTGTCCATTTTAGCCTGGTGTGTGGAGGTACTAAAATTCTCCACAATTTCATGGGGAATGTCCCCCAGGTCAGAGCTAGCAATACAAGAACAAGGTACAATACTAATTATTTTGTCTGATCTCATTAATTGGATCCAATGGTGTACAGTATTTTATACCATAAAAGAACCTAAAGGAGAGTGAATTTTCCTCTGAGGCACCCTCCCCCTCCCCCTTTCCCTCCCTCCCTCCCTCCCTCCCAGATTCTACCTCCAGTGGTCAAAGATGAAGAACATCCAGAATCTGGACCACTGACGAGCAACAAGTAGGAAGAACTCAAACGTCAATGTTATTTGGTGGATTTATATCTGATGTTCATAATCAAGCCCATCCCTAACAGCTAGTTGTCATATATACCCAATATAAACCAGCTTGGGAATATAGGAGCAATGAATATTAGGATATTAACTCTCATGAACAGGCATTGTGATTAGTACTTGCTTAGTGAGGACAAATTATTAAGCACCTGCTTTTCCTTGCTAAAAAAATTACATCCACTCATCTGGGCCCATTTGTATGACCAAGTTGACATTCCTGCGGTTTATTGCTGATTTTTTTGCTTTTGATATTAACTGTGTATTTTACTTCTTTTGTGGTTATCTTATGTTTTCTAAACTGCTTTGGGTGGCAGTGAAAGTGGATTCTAAATGCCATCATAAAGAATTAAAGAAATAAAATGAATGAGAAGTTGCAAGAAAAAATGGGCAAATATTGGTGAACTCAAAAAACTGGTTGAGTTGGACTGTACATCTGAGGGAGCAAGTGCATGGTCCCTTCATCATGATGTGCCAGACTCTCCACAGTCAGGCTTTCCCATCTTTCAGCATTCCCATTTGTCATATGAAGAGGCCCTGAAGTCTACACTAAGACTGTCCTTCATTCTTTTATTTCAGAAGAGTGCCAGGGTGGTTGTATTCACTTTGATGAAACTTCTCACTTAAATTGAAAACCACTACCTTCTACCATTGATGCTGATGGGAATTGCTAATGGTCAAGCCTGCAATCCTAAGCATGTCTACTCAGAAGTAAACTCCGCTGAATTCAGTGGTGCTTGCTCCCACCAGGTATGTGTGGTTAGGATTGTAGACCAAATGTGCTTATAATGCATGGCCTAAATCTAAACTTGTGAAATAAGGTCCAGGGTGATAATCCAGCCACCAGCAGGCTGGATGTCACTCAAGGGACTTCTCCATTCAGCTGGAAGAATCTTTTCCTCATCCTCCCCACCCTCAGCACAATTTTTAACTGGAAAAAGCCTCCTATCGGAGCCAATAGGAAGCATTTTTTCTAGCCTAATTGTGGCCCAGAGAATTGCAAGTGAGAATGGATGCTATGAATGGTATCTCCCTTGCTAAAAGCACCTCTCCCACACTGCTTGAGAACTGGTGTCAGTGGTAGACTTTTCAAGTCCAATTGATACATGGAGGACCAGGATCTTCATGGAAAATATAGGTACTAGGATGTTGCAGGAGAACAAAATCTCCTCCTCTCCAGCTGCAATCTCCATGAAGATCCCCTTCCCCACCTGGCAATTTATCTTGAGAAAAGATAAAATGCTTTATATTCAAGACGAATTGCTGGGGGTGGGGGGAGGAGAGAGAGAGTCTGCACGTGTGCGTGTGTGTGTGTGTGTGTGTGTGTGTGTGTGTGCTCTGTTTGTGAGAGAGTGAGCTCAGGGTGGCCACAAACATTCTTCTTTTGGCCCCTACTTCAAAGCTGGCAAATTTGCAATAGGAATGTTAGATGAAGTGGCATCTCTATCCGTGCTTCACCATTTAGTATCCTCTGAGTTGGCAAGCAAAAGGGCATCTTCCCTCAGGTCTGTGAACACGACTGTTATCACTGCTGAGATTCCTGAAATCTGGCTTGCCACTTTTTAACTGCCCACAGAGTGAAACAATTTGTCCTATAAGGCAATGACTAACAATGGTTTATCTGAAATTTATTAAGAAGGTCATGGCGTGACAACACCCTACCTATGAGGCGTGAAGTATACAGGGCCGGTTTTCCACTTGGCTCAAAGTATTTGGGGGTGTTTCTTATACCCCGGAGTTATGCCTGAAGGCCCCTTAAAAGCATAGCTTGTGAAGACTGCTTGGTGGATGAGTTGTCAGTTAGACCAAGGAACAAAGGGTGTTGGCCAGACCACAAACATAT